CCTGAGTGCCGAGCTATGAACTATGTGAGGGTATATGGATCGGGTTACACGCCGCAATGAGCCTTATGGCTATTTATGGACTGTGGATTGGGTTGCACGCCGCAACGAGCCTTATGGCTATTATATGATTGGGTCGAGATGCACGACGCAGCGATAGAGCGCTTGGGCTAGAAAGAGCCGCTCCGGAGTCTGTTGTTGTTGTGAAATTTCTAGAAGATTCATATATGTTTTACTTGAGCTCAAACTGATTGACTTATACCACCGTATTTGAAAGCATGTTCATTATTTACTGAAAGTTTTTGAAATGATCTGTATTTTTTTATAGCTCGTCACTGCTTCTCAACTCCTTATTTAATTTTGTTACTTGCTGAGTTGGTTATACTCATGCTACACCCTGCACTTCATGTGCAGATCTAGGTGTGCATGGTTCTGACGTTCGCTGAGTTCGTGCGTGAGCTGATTATCGGAGACTTACGAGGTAGCTTCCATCGCTCGCAGTCCTTGTTACTCCTTTCTTATTGTCTTTTCTCACTTGTATTGGCATTTAGCACAGACTGTAGTAGACTCTGTTTCTAGATTTTTTCTTAGATGCTCATGACTTTGAAACACCCCGATGTCGGGCGATTTTTCCGCACTTAGGTTTTATTTGGGTTTTACCCCCGGTTTTATGAAAACCTCCGGTTATTTTAAATGTCTTAATTCATTTTTGTTCAATTCTGAAAGTATTTTGGAAAGGTCGGCTTGCCTAGTAGTAAGATAGACGCCATCACGATGGGTTAGGTTTTGGGTCGTGACATAGGGGTCCCAACAATACCGGCATAAAGCCTAAACATGATATCTAGCATGATTGACAACTCAATTACTTTATCACATGATGAAAACACAGATATCAACTAGATAGAGTCACTATGCAGTGCCATGGAATCAATGAGGCAACAATTCTCATGGTGCACGCTCGCACGCCCGTCACTTGGCATGTGCGTCACCTCAATACCTAACGTATAGCACATAGTTCGGGGTTTCGAACCCTCAAAATCAAGTTTGAAAGCGTTACTTACCTCAAACCGAACAAATCCTTACGTCAAAATGCCTTTGCCTCTAAAATCAGTCTCCAAATGTCCCGAATCTAGCCACAAGTAATACAATACAATCAATATAGGCTAAAGGGATCAATTCCACAAGAAAAGTACTACATCATAGCCAAAAGTCCGAAATCGGCTCAAATCGGCCTACGGGCCCACATCTCAAAATCCGACAAAAGTCACAACACCCGAAAGCCCATTCACTCACGAGTCTAACAATATCAAATTTATCAAAATCCGGCACCATTTGGTCATCCAAATCCCCAATATCCACTCTCCAATTCTCAAGCCCTAAACCCCCAAATTTCACTTCAAAATCTCATTAATTAGATGGGGAAACAAGTTTTATGATCCAAAACGAGTACAAGAAGCTTACCTCAATAATCACCTTGAAAATCGTCTCCAAAATCGCCTAAGTCCGAGTCCAAAATGTTGAAATAAGACTAAAATCGCGAACCCTTGCTTTTAAACCTTCTGCCCAGACTTTTCGCATCTGCGGACCTATTGTCGCACCTGCGACGGTGCATCTGTGGTGAAAATGTCGCTTCTGCAGAAGTCATTTGCACCTCTAGGTCCCGCACTTGCGAACGCGCATCTGCGTCCCTGGCCTCGCTTCTGCGGAGTCACTCTCTCCTCGCTGCCCCCGCACCTGCGTCCACCTATCCGCATCTTCGCTACCGCAGGTGCGGGAAATTCTTCGCACCTGCGACCCCCTTCTTCATGGCCTTGCCCGTATCTGCGATTCATGCCATGCTTCTGCGTGCTCGCACCTGCGGTGCCCACTCCGCAGGTGCGGTTACACCAGTAGCAGCAGCTCTTCAGCTGCTTCATCAACTCAAAATTCAAGTTCATTAACTACCTAAAATCTACTCGGGACCTCAATCAAACATGCCAACAAATCATATAACCCAATAAGAACTTAGTCGAAACTTCGAATCACTCAAAACAACACCAAAACACCGATTACCCCCGGATTCAAACTTAAAGAATTTCTAAACTTCCAAATTCTACAAACGATGTCGAATCATACCAAACCACGCCTGATTGACCTCAAATTTTGCACACAAGTCATATTCAACATTACGGACCTACTCCAATTTCCCGAATTGGAATCCGATCCCGATATCAAAAAGTCAACCCCCCGGTCAAACTTCCGAAAATTTGACTTACGCCATTTCAAGCCTAAATCAGCTACAGACCTCAAATTCACAGTCCGGACACGCTCTTAAGTCAAAAATCACCCAACAGAGCTAACAGAACCGACAGAATTCCATTCCGGAGCCATCTTCAAACCATTCCGATTACGGTCAAAATCCTAAGACTTAAGCTTCCGTTTTAGGGACTAAATGTCCCAAAACACTCCGAAACCAAAACAAGACCTCCCAGCAAGTCATATAAGTAAAAACAGATATGGAGAATGCAGTAAATAGGGGATCGGGGCTAATACGCTCAAAACGACTGGCCGGGTCGTTACATATGTATTCAGTTAGATTTCATGACTCAGTATTACCAGTCTTGGGAGGTTGTTATATTTGTTTCCGCTTTTGGTTTTGGCACTTGTATTAAATTCAAAAAAAATGGCTTGAATTGTTGTTACGATCGTCTTACTTAGTCTTAGAGACTAAGTGACATCACGACGCATGTGGTGGGATTTTGGATCGTGACAGTTGCACAATTGGTGTTCAAATTGAAATTGTCAATCAATCAATTTTGAAGGTGTTTGACTCACCACCATTGACGACCATTAAAAATCTTTGAAGCTTTGAAATCGAATTTGGGTTTTCAAAAACCATTATTTGTTTGGATTGGGTGTTGTTGCAAACAATTGGAAATATTATTTGGAATTTATATCTAAATTCTTAGGGTATTTTGGTGAAGATTAGACTTGATTTTGGCTGAATTTCATATTGAAACTCGTTGAAGAAGAAGAAGAAGAAGAAGAAGAAGAAGAAGAAGAAGAAGAAGACATGACATACGATATACTTACGAATTTGTAGTAAAGTTGTATTATAATTGTATGTAAATTGTATTCTGTTGTAGTTATATATATTTTTTTATTTGAATGTTGTATGAAAGTTGAAAAATAGTTGTATAATGTATGAATCGTTATATAAAATTTGTATTTAAGTTATCAATAATATCTTTTTACATAAAGTTGTTAATATGTATCAAAATTGTATTAAGAGAGTAAGTTTTGATTGGAATTTTAGAGAGGAAGAATCACACACCACATATAAAATATATACAAATCAGAAACAAAATATACAAAAGACATATTGTATAAAATTTGTAGTTAAGTTGTATGATATTGTATTTGTATTTAAGTGGGTAGAAATAATGTATGAAAGTTGTAGATAAGTTATAAATAAGTTGTATAATATATAATTAGTTGTATGAAATTTATTTTTACTATGTATGTTGTTGTAGATATTCAAATTTGCATTAAATTTGTACCAAAATTGTTTTAAATTTTTATGTTGATGTACCATATATTTAACTGGGCACTAATAAGATTATATTTGACATTGAATAATGCATCTTTTTATTGGATCCGCCATTGAGACTAATGACTGTGTGTTTAAGGCGTGTTTCTATAATTTGGAATTTTGAAGTATCTCTTACTATTGTTTTTCCCGAGGGAAGAAACTAAAAGAGCAACATTATCGTGCTATTTATGGAATGCAAGCGTGTTGATAGGTGATGAAGACTTCATATTTTTAGTACATATCCATGTCATATAGTGGGAATCCTCTTTTAGTTTACGAAATTTCGTTTGAATTTTTTTGTATCTCATTTTTTTTCCAATTTCTGTAGTTAATTCTAAACCTAAGAATATGAAGGACGGGATATTTCTTAGACTACGGGTTCTGATTCATCCATTGCGGTACACGAAAGAACTAACTCTGGAAAGGGTATTTCCAGAAATAACCTGGAGAAATCTTTACTCTTTTTACACTAGGATTTGGAAAGGGGCTTGAAGCAGCGAAATATTTGTTTCTAAGCAAGATAATTGAGGTTAGTGCCATCTGTTACTGCCAAGTAATTGAGTTCCTTGATTGAATGAACTAATAATGGATTGGGAGCCTTTTAAGGTGGAATGTATATAATTTGTAAGTAATCCTTGTTTATGACGGGTAATATATAAAATTAGAACAATTTTGGTAAATAAGTTTCAAATATTGTATAGGAACAAGAAAATTCCAAAATGAAAAAGGGAATTGGGCTTAAACATATTTTTGTTAGATCCATTTTTATTTCCACTTATTTGGGTCACTAGGAGCATTTTAGGTGACCTAGCACACCTAAAGAAAAAAAACAAGGGAAAATAATATTGTATAGCCACTCTAAAAATAATAATCGAAATATAAATATTTTTACATACATACATACATACATACATACATACATATGCATTTTGTATGCTATATATAAAAATTATACAAATTTTATATACTTTTTTGACTATTGAACGTAATTAGTTTATGATACGGGCTAAAAGTGAAAAATGCCCAAAAACAATGCTTGGTTTGTGAATCCATGAAATCAAAATCCTTTTGAATTCAATTTTTTGTGACTTTGAAATTCCAAAAACTCCTTCCCTTGTTCCCATTTTTTTTAAAAACTTCAAAAGAGTTAAAACAAACTTATTTGGCGAGAGTAAAAAAAAAGGGTGTGACAATCAAGCCCGTAAGTCCCGGATATTGAATGGTTAAATTTAAAAAAAATTGTACTTATGTTTGTAAAGTTGTGTTTTCTTTTGGGTGTGTTTGTTACGAAAGAATGTTTTGAAATATTAAAAAGGCCATTCAGAAAAGAAGAAGAAAATAAAAAAGGATGTTTGATTTTATTTGTATCCTCTTGAAGGGAGTTCCATGAAAATATGATTAAATAAATAGTACATTCAGTACAAACTCAGTTTATAAACACTTAATTATTCATTTAAATTGTCACAACTCTTCTCTTTGCTTGCAAAAAAAATGAAAATTACAGATCATAGCATTCAGGAATTCCAGAAGAAAATAAATATAGCAATGATAATAAAACTTAGCCCCTAGGTACGTACAACTAGGCTAGTTATCATTTAATCGGACTATAATCTCTAAATTAGAGACTTAATTGTTCCAAAGCCAGTTTTGCTAGTAAATAATGGAATTACTGAAAGGGAAAAATTAAGTCATTTCACATAGTTCAGGGGCAAGGTAGGCCCTTTGCCTTATAAGCATCACAGATTCTCTCATTTATACATTCGCCTAATGTCTCCATATTGCATGTCGATGTTGCTGCATTTGCTGCAAAAAAATAAAATGAATAAAGAAATAAAAGAAATAAAAGAAAAGGAACATAAACTATTACTTCTCTAGACCAATTTGGATAATTGAAGGTAGGCAATTAAATTATACCACAGTTATTTTGTTCCATTTTACATTGACAATATTACTATTTAACGTGTGTAACATTTTGTCACGTTACATACATTTTTATTTTTTGAAAAAACTACACGGTGTCGACGCTCCCAAAAATATATATTATTATGTATATTAATGTATGATATGCATATAATATACATATCTTTTAAGTATATTTTTCTAACAAATGTAATTATTTTTTCCGATCGGTCAATATATTACTTGCCCTAATTTTTTCTCAAATATCTTTCAGAAAGTTTAATTATAAAATCTTGTGATTTATAATAGCTTTTAGTAGTTTTTAAAAAAATGTAATTTTCCATCTATCCAAGATTTGCGGTCGAGAAGACACTTTTGTTAATTATTTTCAAGTGTTTCTAATACTGAGTTCTCGTCTTTAGATATACAATTAACTTTTGTCAAATTTACTGCGAAATCGTTCGGTTGGGAATCAAAAATTCAAAACCACCAATTACTCTAAATTCTTCAATTAAGAGTTCGAATTTAGAGTGACTTATTTTATATCTTTGTTAATTTCTATTTCATTCCATTCTATTCATCACACAGTAATCTTTCAGTAGAACAAGAGTACACCACATTGATCGTTTTCAAATTTATTGTGCGAATTGGTTAATAGTGGGAAGCTTTTAAAAAATGAGAATAATAAAATATAGATTTTAAGCAGTATCTTACCAGGTGGTGATTGATTGGGTTGCACTGCAAAGAAAGAAAAAGAATGAATTATAAAAGATAAACGAGAAATATATATATATATATATATNCATACCTATGGCCCTAAGGTGATAGTTAAAAGGATATTGGGTACGATTAAATACTTGTAGGATTAGTGATTGATCAAGATGGAATCTGTCAACTTTTGGTAATGAGTTTAAGCTTCATGTTGTCATGAATTATAAACGACCAAATTAAGGCATTCTGCCAGGGCGATTGAATGAAGGAAGAAATAGAAAACTTCAATTTGTTCACAATATTAATTATATCCTCTATGCTAGAAAAGAATATAACAATATTTCATTTGGACTAAAACTTAATTTATTTATTTGATTAATTAAATTCTCCAATTTAAATATCAAATGATAAAATAATTAATCATGTAGCAAAGATCAGAACACTCGTTAGTGTGCGACCTCATAGGTTCATTATTAACCCGGTAGTAAATTGATCATATCAATATACTAATCAAGGGTGGCGTCTAGCAACACTCCTTAACGATGGGATAGCATAAAGTATATAATTTACTCTCAAGAACCCGTAGAATAATAATGTAGTATTTCCTTCTGTCCTTATAGCTCTGAGTCACCCTAGAATATGGTTTAACTGTCAAATCCTAATAGGCGACCAACTATGTGTTCATGTCAAATATAATCAATCGTTGAATGACCTATTTCTTCCTTCATTCAATCGCCCTGGCAGAAGGCCTTAATTTGGTCGTTTATAATTCATGACAACATGGAACTTAAACTCATTACCAAAAGTTGACAGATTCCATCTTGATCAATCACTAATCCTACAAGTATTTAATCGTACACAATATCCTTTTAACTATCTCCTTAGGGCCATAGGTGTGCAGTATCAAAGCACAATAAATAATTTGTCAATTACTATGACGATCTCAGGTCAAAGAAAAGTCCGATCCTACATCACATTCTTCAAGAGAATATCCTATTGACAGTTTATAATAATTCTAACCATTAGGAATTATCCAATGAGTTGGTTCATTGATCATATCTCTATATGCATCATCTATCTATGTGATTTAGTTAATGAGATCAACTAATATTTATCCAATAAAGACGATTACATAAATATTGATCTAACCGGACTACTAATGTCCAAATTAATAATCCTATGATCAAGAACTAATTTAGATTAACTTATAAAAAACTTCACTCTCATTATCATGATCTCCATCACGATGACAAGTCTCAAAATTTAATCAAGTACCTTATTAAATTAATTAAATAATTAATAATAACTATGATTAAAGAATATCAAATGCCATATATATTTTATATCAAATAACGTTCACACAAATATGTTCAAAATCATCAAATATGAGATTGGATCTAGGGCATATCTACTATACCCCTAACATCTATAAGGATGATTTAGTATTAAATTACCCTTTTTCAAGAACTCAATATCAAGGCGGATTCAAGATTTAAATTTTATGCGTTCCGATTCGCAATTCTGTCACATCTCATCTCATTTAATGGGTTCAAAATTTATTTTTTGTATAATATTTTTTTGGGCAGAAATACAGTGTTAGTTACCATATACTGCTAATAGGGTACTCCGAATTTCTTGACGAATGGGGGGGAATTTAAATTTCAACATTGACGAACGCAAAATCGGTGTATAAAACTTAGGCTCGCTAGTCAAAGATAGTATAGTATTAAATTGCCTTCACAGTGATTGGTTTAAATAATGCTCAAAGAAATCTTTAGCTTAACACTATTTAGGAAAATAAATCTTTGATTTTGAGTTATTAACTACTTAAGCGTAAACACTAAGATTCTCAATTGTGAATGAATAATAGAAATTTAGTGACTAAGTAGCAACTATTGAATATCAAGGTGAGAAACAAGGGCTTTGACAAGATATGCCATCAACTATTACTATGGGCAACTCTGTGTTATGTTCACTCTTTAACTTCTATGGACTCTCTCGATTGCAACAGATGATTTGGCTATCTTAAGGATTCAAATTCTTATTCCGAACAAATTAGAGTTCGCTAAACAACCTAATGATATGTTCGTAATCCTTCGGCTGGGAATCAAAATCACCAATTATTCTAAATTCTTCAATTAAGAGTTCGAATTTTGTGTGACTTACTTTATATCTATGTTAATTTCTATTTCATTCCATTCTATTCATCACACAGTAATCTTTCAGTAGAACAATACTACACTACATGGATCGTTTTCAAATTTATTGTGCAAATTTGGCTAAAAGCGAGAAACTTCTAAAAAAATGAGAATAATAAAATATAGATTTTTAAACAGTATCTTACCAGGTGGCGATTGTTGGGGTTGCACTGCAAAGAAAGAACAAGAATGCATTATAAAAGAAAAACGAGAAAAACAATAGATCTTTTGAAGCATTTAACATCTAGGCTAATATACTAATTTGAAATGGCATAATCCTTTTGTCCTAATTTATGTTACTGTGAAACTCTACGCAAATCTCACATCGACAAAACACGAGAAAAATACTCGGTATATAAGTAAACAGGCCTTATACCCTAGTGACGCATTTTAAACCCGTGAGGGCCTAGCAGACTAGACTGTTATATATGGTATCAGAGCCACTCCACGTGCAACCTTGAATGGTGGTGCGGCAAACCTCAGCGAGAACGCTGAGTCCCTAAGGGGGTGTATGTGACACCCTAGGCGAATCCCAAATCGACAAAACACGGGAAATATGCTGGGTATATAAGTAAACAGGCCTTATACCCTAGTGACGCGTTTTAAACCCGTGAGGGCCTAGGTCCAGAGCGGACAATATCACAAGCGGGCTGGGCTGTTACAATGATACCTTTCGCTTTTCGAGATTCAAACTTCTTAATTTTTCTGTATATTTAAACATAGAGAATTTTTGCAATAAATTTACATAATTGAAAATTATATAAAAGTATTATTAAGACATAATATTTAATAATTTAATACACATATAAAAAATTATGAATAAAAAATAACCTATTTAACTCTCGAAATCCGAACACTTTTTCATAAATTGGGACAGATGAAATATTATTTTCCCTTATAATTAATTACTTTGTAAGAAGTAAAATAAAACAAATAAAAGTAACTTTCTTTGTCCAAATTGTTGTCCACCTTATGCTTTCAACTTTCAAGAGTTAAACAATTCTAAATTAAAGTTTGACCATAAATTTGATTATTTAGTTTTTACTCCTAGTTAGTGGCGGGAAATGTTTCAAACAGGGGCGGATCCAGTGTAGTGGTGCTGATCGAGTTCAACTAAACTCAATACTTTTTATATGGAACATAATTTATATGTAGAAAAGGGCCAAATATATTCCTTTACTTTAAAAAATTATTTAAACGTACCCTTCGTTTCACTATTTGATCATTTCAGACCCGATAGTTATACTATGGATCAAATTTACCCTTATTTTTAACGTAGCTCCTTAATAATAGACTCATCCCCAATTTAATCTACCCAGTTTATAACTCACCTATCCATAATCCGACCTGTTACCCAACCCAAAACCAGCATTGTTCTTCAATTTTTATCAAATTTTACTCAAAATTTCCGACCCAACTTCCTTGAATCTTTACCAAATTTGTTATAATTTGAGATTTGGATCTTATTAATTTTTGTTGAGAATCTCTTGAGAGCTTAAGTCTCAAATTATAACAAATTTGGTGAAGATTCAAAGAAACTGGGTTAATTGGAAATTTCGAATAAAAATTAATAACGATGGAAGAACAATACTGGTTTTGGGTTGGGTAACGGGTCGGATTATGGATAGGTTAGTTTTAAACCGGGTAGATTAATTGGGAATGTGTCTTTTATTAAGGAGCTGTCATGTGGCTCTCCGATAAAAATAAGGGTAAATTTGATCCATAGTATAACGATCGGGTCTGAAATGACCAAATAGTGAAACGAAGGATACGTATAAGTAATTTTTGAAAGTAGAGGAATATATTTGGTTGTTTTCTGTAAATTATATCACATTATTTTGTTCTATTTACTCTGACATTAATACTATTTAACGTGTGTAACATTTTGTCACGTTACATATTCTTTTTTGTATATTTGGCTAGTAAATATAATTATCGGTCAAATATATTACTTGCCCTACTTTTTTCTCAAATATCTTTCAGAAAGTTTAATCATAAAATCTTGTGATTTATAAATAGTTTTTAGTAGTTTTCAAAAAAAATGTAATTTTCCATCTATCCAAGTTTTGCGGTCGAGAAGACACTTTTGTTAATTATTTTCAAGTGTTTCAAATACTAAGTTCTCGTCTTTAGATATCCAATTAACTTTTGTCAAATTTACTGCGAAATCGTTCGGTTGGGAATCAAAACCACCAATTATTTTAAATTCTTCAATTAAGAGTTCGAATTTAGAGTGACTTATTTTATATCTTTGTTAATTTCTATTTCATTTCATTCTATTCATCACACAGTAATCTTTCAGTAGAACAATACTACACTACATGGATCGTTTTCAAATTTTTTGTGCAAATTTGGCTTATAGCGAGAAACTTTTAAAAAATAAAAATAATAAAATATAGATTTTTAAACAGTATCTTACCAGGTGGCGATTGTTGGGGTTGCACTGCAAAGAAAGAACAAGAATGCATTATAAAAGATAAATGAGAAAACAAATTAATCTTTTGAAGCATTTAACATCTAGGCTAATATACTAATTTAAAATGACATACTCCTTCTGGCCTAATTTATGTTATACTTTCTGATTTTCAAGATTCAACTCTTAATATTGTTTGTATATTTAAATATAAAGAATTTTTGCAGTAAATTTACATATTTGACAACTATATAAAAAGTATTATAAGCCACAATATTTAATAATTTAAAACACATAAAAAATATTATGGTCAAAAAATAACTCATTTGACTCTCGAAATCCGAATACTTTTTCATAAATTGAGACGGATGAAGTATTATTTTTCCTTACAATTACATACTTTGTAAGAAGTAAAATAAAACAAACCTTATATATACTTTCAACTTTCAAGAGTTAAACAATTCTAAATTAATTAAAGTTTGACCATAAATTTGATTATTTAGTTTTTACTTTTAATTAGTGGTGGGAAATGTTTCAAAGGGAGAATACTAACACAAAGATATTGGGCAGATTTTTACCGGGCGTAATTTTTCCAGGGGGTGATTGTTCAGTTGCTGAAGGAGCTGAAGTAGAGGAATGACCATGGACTTCAGTTTTAGTACTATTGCCACCACCATTACCTATTATTCAAATAGGTTTAAGTTATATACACCAAAAATATTTAAAAAATTGCTCTATTATAAAATTTTATTTAATATTATTAATATATTTTACATTATCAATCCATAAATATTAAAATTCAATTAATATAATAACAATGATTATAATTCCAATTTCAAATATTCATGAAAAATATTAAACAAAACAAGAATAAAACTAAAACAAAATTTTAAAAAAGCCTGTTTTTCGTCCAAATGCCACCGTCCTAATTTGAAGTAGAAAATGTTTCCGTAGTGGTATTTCTCGATCAAAATCTCTATATGGCATATTTCAAAATAATGAACTTATTTACTTCCTTCAATTGAAAATCGTTCAAATCAACTCTTAACAATAACAACAACAACAATACTACTACTAATACTACTACTACTACTACTACTACTACTATTAATAATAATAATAATAATAATTTTAAAAATAAATAGATAGCCCGGTGCTCAAAATATTCGCGTTCACGCGAGGTTCGAGGAAAGGCCGCACCCCAAGAAAGTGTAATGTTGGCAGTTTACCCTGATACAAACACCAATAATTGATTCCACAATTCGGACCCGTGACTTAATTACATTATACAGAGAAGGGAGTACTAAACCTGATAATAATCTTGGTGAGGATGTTGTTGAGGATAGGCAGAAAATTAAGACAAAAAAGATTATGAAGAATAATAAAGAGAATGCTTTCTGATTCATGGCTTCAAAAGCTATTGGAAGAGGTATTTAATCAATAAGCTTCTATTTAGCTTTTATATACAATTTTCCTAAAGAGTACAATATTGAATAAGGAATTGATCAGAAACGTATGGACTATACCCTTTGTCAGAAAATTCTCAATTTTCTTTACCCATTTTATGGGGCTTGACTTGGAGTCTTGAGCAAAAAGTTAATATATTTTATATTACTTTATTTGGTTAAGTCTTCTCAAGTTGATGACAATACCATCAAAGAATGTGGTGCAGCGAATAGGGCTGCTACTCCGTTAACCAGAGGTCTGGGTTCGAGCTTTGAGTATGAAAAAATCCTTGGTAGAGAACGCTTCCCTCTCGAATGGGACCTTACCCGACGTAAATCAAGATATAGTCGGGCTCCAATACGGGTACCAGACATCGGGCGAGAAACCAAAAACAAAGTTGATGATTATGATGTCTAGTTCAGCCGTGAGTAAGAATGAGTTAGTATTCAATTATAGCTTTTATTAAAATGTAAATATAGTTATTAAGGTTAAGTGATTTGGTAGTTATTACAACTTCATAGTATATAATTACTAGATACTGTTAATAGGGTTCTGGTGAACTGTTGTAGTGTTGTGGATTGATGTACACTAGATTAGGTATACGTTGGAATAATTATTATAAATAACTAAGTTCTATATCTATTTTTTTGAAGTTAAGTTTTTTGATTTTGGAATACCTTAATCTATTATATCTTTGAGAAGTGTAACAGTATTTTGTCTACTTCTTTTTCGAATGTCTTGCAAAAACTTGTGATTTTTTTTTATACTTTTAAATAGTTTTCAAATATATAAAAAAAAAATTATCTAACAGAATGTGGCCAAGGTAAGATATTTTTGTTAATTTCCATGTATTTCTAATAATATTTTAACCTTTTCTTAATCTCCAATTAATTTTCTGCCATATTTTATGGGAAATTATTTACTTGTGGACCCGAATCACAAGGTTTAGGAGATTTTGTTCAAAACATTTCTCTTCAGAATTCGAATTTATAGTCCGTTTGGCCAAGCTTCTCCAAGTTCAAAGACTTTTTTTCAAAATTTGAACTGTTTGGCCAAGCTTTTAAGAGAGAAAAAAAGTATTTTTTAGGAGAAGCAGAAAAAAATAGCTTCTTCCCAGAAGCATTTTTTTGAGAAGCACTTCTGAAAAAAATACACTTAGAAACACTTTTTAAAAGATTGGACAAACACTAATTATTACTTAAAAGCACTTTTTAAATTAAATAACCAAACACAAACTAGTTCTTACCAAAAATACTTTTAAAAAAAAATATTTCTCAAAATAAGCTTATTTTTCAGCTTATTTCGTCATCAGTAAAAGTGGAGGCAAGAGCGTTTTACCAAAGATAGAGACGAAACATAAGTCCTGCATATGACGTAAGCCTCACAAATCCTTAAGTGTCACTAATTCATAAATTTAGAAAATATTATAGTAGAAAAATTAAAATCATAAAATTTAAAAGTAAAACTAAGTATTGACAATTTTGCTAAAGTTTGTAAAAATTCTAAAATAACTATGAATAATAGAAATGTGTATATATTGAGAATATTAAATAGCATTGCTGCTTTCAATATTTGTCCTCTCCAAAAGAGTAGTAGTGTAATGACCCAATCGGTTATTTTGACTTTTAGAACTCTGTTCCCCTAAATAAAATTCTCAGTATGTGCTTTTATTAATTTATGACTTGCGGGGATGGTTGGTTCAGAATTTGGAAGTGATCGGGTTGAAATCGAAACAATTGGTTCCTTAGTTTGGCTTTAAAAGGCCAAGTTTGATTTCGGTCAACATTTTAAAAAAGACCCCGGAATCGGGTTTTGACGGTTCCAATAGCTCTGTATGATGATTTTGGACTTAGGAGCGTGTTCGCAATTTTATTTGGAAATCCGTAGTTAAATTAGCTAGGCTTGAAATGGCTAAAACATGAATTTAAGTTTGGAAGTTTTACCGGAAAGTTAACTTTTTGATATCGGGGTCGGAATCCAATTGCGAAAATTTTTATAGCTCCGTTATATCATTTATGACTTGTGTGCAAAATTTGAGGCCAATCGGACTTGATTTGATAGGTTTCGGTACCGAATATAGAAGTTGGAAATTTTAAGTTTCATTAAACTTGAATTGGAGTATGATTCGTGGTTTTAGCGTCGTCTGATGTGATTTAAGGTTTCGACTAAGTTCGTATGATGTTTTAGGACTTTTTGATATATTTGGTTGAGGTCCCGAGGGACTCGGCTGAGTTTCGAACGGCTAACAGATCATTTTTGTCCATTTCTGATAGCCGCTGGTATTTTTCTTTTGATTTCATTTTACGCGATCGCGTGAGATAGTTTGCGATCGCGTAGGCTTGTTTGAGGCAGTGATATTTTTGTTCTTCGCGATCGCGTGAATAGGGCCGCGATCGCGTAGTGTGGGAATTTGGTATTCACGAACGCGTAAAGAAGGTTGTGTTCGTGTAGAGTAAGTGGAGCAGAAAGGGAGGCCACGTGTTTGTGCTTTGCGATCTAGTGAATTGGTTTGCGATCGCGTAGGCCTGTAAATTTGAACTTCGTGATCGCGTGGACAAATCCACGATCGCGTAGGGTTATTTTTGGGCAGTAAAAAAGTTCGCGATCGTGTAGAAGAAATCACTGGGTAGAGAGTTTTAAGTTCTAAAAATGGGACTTTTTACCGATTTGGAGCTCGGATTGAGGCGATTTTTGGGAGATTTTTCAGAGAAAATAATGGGGTAAATGTTCTTAACTCAATATTGGTTAAATTACCTGAATCCATCACTGTTTTTATCATTTAATTGGAGAATTAAGTTGGAAAAGTTTGAAAAACCCTCTTGGATAGATTTGAGGATTTGAGGGCCGAATTGTTATTGAAATTTAGTAATTTTGGTATGGATAGACTCATCGTTGAGTGGGCGTTTATATTTCGTAACTTTCGCCGGATTCCGAGACGTGGGCCCCACGGACGATTTTTGAGTTAATTTTGGGATTTTATTGAAAAATATAGTATTTTCTTATGAAATTGATTGCTATAATTTTTAGTGATTATATCGAATTATTTTGGCTAGATTCGAGCCAGACGGAGATGGATAAACAAGGAAAAGGCCTACTAGTGGATTAAATTGGAGCAAATTGAGGTAAGTCTCTTGTCTAATCTTGTGAGAGGGAAACTACTCCATAGGTGATTAAATTAATAATTGTTGCTAATTGTGGGGGCTACGTACGCACGAGGTGACGAGAGTCCGTACGTAGCTACTATCTATGCTAAAGTCCGGGTAGTTAGGACTCAAAGCATGAATTATACGTGTAAATTGTATCCTTTATTTAATTAAATTATTTGAACCATATTGTGAATTGTTAGATAAAAATATTAAAGGATGGAAATCTCATATACTTAAATTTTCTGTTTTAATTAATTGTTAAGAGAAATTGTTATTCCTCCTGAATTTATCTTATAATAAATATACTCTCATTCTGGAGGTACATAAGAAAATGTCATCCTTTCTTGTGGAGCGTGCTGAACGCCTTGGTAGTATAGATGCATCTATGGATCGCGCCACACGTCCCTCGGCAGTGTACACGACACTCTGAATCGGGTCGTACGACCTCGGCAGAAATCGTGCCTAATAATAATAATAATTACATGATACCTCGGCATTTCAATTGCAGCTTGTGAATTTAATTAATAGATTGGAAATTGTTGCATTTGAAGAAATTTAATTATTTCTGTTGGTTAAATAAGATTATTATTAGCTCTATGAATCAAGTTGATTTAAATAATTCCATATTTTATTTCAATTATTATTATTGACCCTTAGTGAGTGTCAAAGTCGACCTCCCATCTCTACCTCTTCGAGATTAGGCTTGATACTTACTGGGTACACGTTGTTTACGTACTCATGCTACACTTGCTGCACTTTTTGTGCAGGACCTAATACAGGTGCTATAGTTGGACCTATCAGCACGCACCCACGATATCCAGAGGCTTAGTGGTAACCTTCCCTTCTGAGCCATTCTGCAGCAATCAGTGCCTCTCCCTGAATTTTTATTCTGTCTATTTTATTTCAGACAGTATTTAAATTTTTGTATAATCTACTAGATACTCATACACTTATGACATCATGTCTTGGCACAAACATTAGTAGAAATTTTGGATTTAATTATTTTTTTATTTATTTTAATTTACCAGATCTTTTCACATTGTCTTGATTATTGCAAGTAAGAAGATTTTAATTATTCGGTTAATTAAATTACCACTTGGCTTGCCTAGCTGTAGTATTAGGCGCCATCACGACCTATAGGAGAAATTGGGTCGTGATAATATGGTATCAGAGCACTAGGTTCACGTAGGTCTCACAAGTTATGAGCAGACCTAATAGAGTCTTGTGGATCGGTACAGAGACTTCTGTACTTATCTTCGAGAGGCTATAGGGTGTTAGGAAACTACCTTTCTTCATATTCCATCGTGTGATTGATGTAGTACTAAATATCTTTCTCTTATTCTCTCACAGATGGTGAGAACACGCTCTAACGAGGCTCCAGACCAGGGAAGAGATACTCCCCCAGTTGTTAGAGGCCGAGGGAGGGCTCCAGTCCATGGTAGGGGACGAGGACGGCCTAGGACTGTTCCAGTTATGCCTCCAGTGGGTCCAGCAGAGGATCCCATCATTGAGGAACAAGGCAAGGTGCATATGGCAGAGACAACTCCGGTGGATTTCACATCTCCATCGGGATTCCAGGATGTCATGGGTCGTATGCTGCGATTCATGGACACTATGACTCAGGCCGATTTATTTCCGATAGACCCAGCCACATCTTAGGCAGGCAGGGGATCACAGACCCCTACCGCACAGGCTCATGGGCAAGCAGTTGCTGTATATCAGACCCAGGGTACACTACCCGTGGGTGGAGCCCAGCCAGTGGCAGCAGCTACACCTGAGCCCAGGCCAGTTGCAGCCGCTGATCCACATAAACTATTGGACAGATGGACTAGACTACATCCTCCTGTCTTT